GAGAAGACAATTATGCTGGGGAAAGTGGAAGGCAAAAGGAAGAGGGGCCGACCAAGGGCAAGATGGATGGATGGCATCCTTGAAGTGACTGGACTGACCTTGAGGGAGCTGGGGGTGGTAACGGCCGACAGGGAGCTCTGGCGTGGGCTGGTCCATGAGGTCACGAGGAGTTGGAGACGACTGAACGAATGAAACAACTGTGAGAAAACTGCCTCTGAAAGTACATAGCCTTAAAGCCAGTCAGAGGAGCCAGAAGTAGCAGCAGCAGATAAGGAATTGAGTGAAGAGCTGAGTTTTTTCTCTTTTTTTGAATTTTATTTGAGACATCCCAACAATTAACAAACTTTTGCCATACAGGACTTATTTCAGTATATTTATTCCAAAAGTAATTATTTCTTAAATGACATTTTATACATTCCTTAGTTATGTATCACCCATCCCTCTGCCCTCCCCCCATTCCCCCCGCCACCCTGGAACAGCAATTCTAAGTGATGTCATTGCATCAGTTTAACCATATGGAAATTCAAAATGCTATATCTGTCGTCTCCGTCTATTTTTTTCAATTAGCATAGACCATTTCCTTAACCAGTCTGGGAAATGCTGGTTCTCTCTGTGAGGAAACTGGCTCGGAAAGTACACAGCCTCAAAGCCAGTCAGAGGAGCCAGAAGTAGCAACAGTAGATAAGGAATTAAGTGAAGCGCTGAGTTTTTTCTCTCTTTTTTTGAATTTTATTTGATACATCCCAACAGTTAACAAACTTTTGCCGTACAGGACTTATTTCAATATACATTATTCCAAAAGTAATTATTTCTTGAATGACACTTTATACATTCCATAGTTATGTATCACCCATCCCCCTGCCCTCCCCCCATTCTCCCCGCCAAATTCTAAATGATGTCATTGCATCAGTTTAACCGTATAGAAATTCAATATCTGTCGTCTCCGTCTATTTTTTTCAATTAGCATAGACTATTTCCTTAATCAATCTTGTTCTTTTTGACTATTTACATACTTGTTTTTCCTTTGATTGAGGAAGCCATTAATTATATATTCTGATAAATAAATCCCATTTTGTATCGTCTCTCTATCCTCGGTCTATTGTGACTTGTATTGCGGCTGTCATATATTTTAGGATTTCTGCCCAGTTGTTGTTTTCTTGTTATTGTGAAAAGCGGAGTGATAAGGAGGGTTCCCAGGAGAAACCACCTGTAGCTACGGAGATCAACAAAAGTCCCCGTTTACCAATTAGAGCTGAAAACAAATTGTGTCAGTCTGAGAGATTATGTTGAAAAGTTGTGAAGAAAATTAATGGGAGACGTAATGATTTCATGGGTGTCTATTAAACAACGAATTGTTTACCTTAAGGTCAGTTCAGACAACACTGCATAAGAGTGAAAAGCTAAGCCCGAGTTCTCTCATTCCTGGTTCAAGTCAAGTCTTGGTCTTGGATTTAAGATATCTTGGAACTTTTCTATGTTCCTGGTCAAGTTTTTACTAGTTACACGAGGGTTGAATGAAAAGTAATGCTTCCATCTTCGTTACTTGGGTTTGGATGGGAATATTTTAATAAATCAAATGCAGGAATAATAATTGGAATGTGCTCTTTAACAACCACTATTCATTTTCCCACATAATCACCAGACAATTGGATACATTTCTGCCAACAATGAACAAGTTTTTTGAAGCCGTCATGGAAGAAGTCGACATTCTGCTTCCGCAACCAGCATCTCAAAGTTATCTCAACATCTTCAGAAGCATAATGATGTCCCGCAGATATTCTTTCATTATCGGGAACAGATGGAAGTCAGATGGTGGACAGTATGGAGGATGTCGTATGGTGGTGAGATCCAGTCTCTGAAGTTTCAAGTCTGTGCACTTTAATTTCAGGTGTCAGCATCCTGAGTACCCAGCGAGCACAGATCTTCCAATAGCCAAGCATAATGTGACCGACACGTTCTTGTGAAATGGCGACTATGCTTGAAATTTCTCTCTGAGTAATATGACAATCATCCTGAATCAATCTGTCAACCTTTTGCTCATGAAATTTGGTGGTTGCTGTACACAGGATGTCCAACTCTTTGTTTGTCATGCAAGTCAGATATTCCCACCTCAACATCTTTAAACTTACCCGCCCAACAATGCACAGTTCTCACATCAACACAATCACCACGAACAGCTTGCATTCTCTGATGAATTGCCTTTGGGGTGACACCTTCTGCTGTCAAGAATTCAATGACTGCATATTGCTTAAGTCGCATTGACCGACCGTCTGCGTAGGGTTCCATAATTTGCCCTTTAACAACACAACCGTTCAATGCTAAGGCTCCCTGCCAAAATGGAACTGTAAAGGAGAGTCTACTGAACGAGCCAGTACCTGCCACATACCAGTACTGGCATCTGATGAGGAGTTATGAAGGTCCATCCAATGCTAAGGCTTCCCGCCAAAATGGAACTGTAGAGGAGAGTCTACTGAACAAGCCAGTACCTGCCACATACCTGTACTGCCATCTGATGAAGAGTTATGAAGGTCCATCCAATGCTAAGGCTTCCCGCCAAAATGGAACTGTAGAGGAGAGTCTACTGAACAAGCCAGTACCTGCCGCATACCAGTACTGCCATTTGATGAGGAGTTCTGAAGGTCTGTTCAATGCTTCCCGTCAAAATGGAACTGTAGAGGAGAGTCTACTGAACAAGCCTACTAATGTCGCATACCATTACTGTCATTTGTTGAGAAGTTACGAAGGTGGAGGCATAACTTTTCATTCAACCCTCGTACCTTCTTGCTTTAGAGTTTGGAAAGTTCTGCACTCAACCAATCTCTAATGTAAAGTGCATGTGAAAAGACTTCCATTTGATTTGCAGGAATAACAATAAAGGGATGCTCCCTTGGCCGTTCCCGTTCTCTCTCTTCCTTTTGGACCTTGTGTTGCCCTCTGCGTTCACTCTTTTTCCTTCCCGTCAAACGAGCGCTTTCTCCCGCTCCAAAAAAAGCAAACCAGCTGTGCTTCCGCTTCCTTCCAGATGTTGGTCAGCAGCTGGTTGCCTTCCTTTCTTCTCCTTCGCTCTCTCTTGTTGGCCAAATCTTTTCCAGATGTTGCGGCCGCATCGCAGATGGGAGGTCCTCGTATTTCCCTAATACGCGAGGATCCAAGCGGCAGCCTTTTTGGGGGAAAAAACCAACACAAAACAACGAGCGGCGGTTTGGAAACGTCAGCTTCCATTTCGGAAAGTTTTGGCGTTGGCCTTCCTCTGATCTGTTTTGTTTTAGTTTTATTTCCTCCCGATGTTTGGCGTCCCATTCATGCTAATCACAGCCAGGCCCGATTCCTCCCCTCCCTCCTCTTTTTTTTATTTCCGCATTTGTCATAAAATAAAGCAAATTATTCCCATCTTCAGAAACGATCTAGACTAATTAGTCGTCTCACCCAATAATTAGCTTTTTGTTTCCCTGTCTGTTTTTCCGACATTATTGTTAGTTTTCTCCCCACTCTTGAGTTGTTGTTGTTTTCGAACGCCATTACGGATTAAAATGAGCCACATTTGCAGTTGATGGTATATGTTGTCGTCGTCGTGTTTTTTTTCCGTTTCGGGGAAAGAATGGGAGGAATCGCAATAGAAAAGCTACTTCAAAAGCAGCCATAAACTCGAAAAGATAAATTAAGGAAATTGAATGAGCCGCGCGTTTGGAAAGTGGCAGCCAAGGCTAATACTCCCCGTCGCTTAAGGTCAAATTGCAGCAGGGGGGGTTGCGCTTCCACCCGCCCCAATGCATCCCAAATTTGGGAGGAAAGCCACGACGAATGTCTCCTTGTCCCCTGTGCCTTTGGAGGACCTTTGTCTGAGAAACCCTCGTGGGCCATCCAGAAAATCGCATTCAAAGCACCCCCGACAGATGGCCATCCAGCCTCGGTTTAAAAGCCTCCGAAGAAGGAGCCTCCACCACACACCGGGGCAGGGAGTTCCCCTGCTGAACAGCTCTCACAGTCAGAAAGTTCTTCCTGATGTCCATGAAATGTCTGTGTGTGTTCGGTGTGCGGGAATGGGGACCCGACATTAGCCAGGTAAGGCTAGGGTTAGGGTTGGAAGAGACCTCGTGGGCCATCCAGCCCAACCCCATTCTGTCAAAAAGCAGGAAAATCGCATTCAAAGCACCCCTGACAGATGGCCATCCAGCCTCTGTTTAAAAGCCTCCAAAGAAGGAGCCTCCACCGCACTCCGGGGCAGAGAGTTCCCCTGCTGAACAGCTCTCACAGTCAGAAAGTTCTTCCTAATGTTCAGATGGAATCTTGTAGTTTGAGCTTGGGAGGTAAATACTTTATGAAGTAGCCAGGTCACAGTTTCTCTGACTGTGAGTGAACTACAACTTCCATAAAGGAAGGCCAGTCCCCCATCCCGCCCCCCCCCCCAAATGCCTCCAGTAATCAAATTTCAACATATCAGGTCTGTTTGCCAAGTTTGGTCCAGATCCATCAGTGTTTGGGTTCAGTGCTACCTGGATGCAGGTGAACTACAACTCCCAAAATCAAGGCGAATTCCCACAAATCCCTACATTTGGTCATATGAGGCTTCTCTGTGCCAGGTTTGGTCCCAGTTCATTGTCGGTGGGGGTCACTCTTTCTCTGGATGCAGCTGAACTATAACTTCCTTTCCCCCAAACTTCTCCAGTATGTTCTGTTGGTCATGGGGCTTCTCTGTGCTAAGTTTGGTCCCAGTTAATTGTTGGTTGGGTCACTGTTGATCTGGATGTAGGTGAACTAAAACTTCCCAAATCAAGGTCAATTTTCCCCAAACCCCTGAAGTATGTCCAGTTGGTCATATGAGGCTTCTCTGTGCCAAGTTTGGTCCCGGTCCATTGTCTGTGGGGATCACGCTTTTTCTGCGTGCAGGTGAACTATAACTCCCTTATCCCCAAACTTCTCCAGTATGTTCTGTTGGTCATGGGGATTCTCTTTTCCAAGAGAATCATACTCATGTTTTCTTCCCTTCTCTTGACAAACAGGGCTGACGGATGAAGAAATAGACCTGGCCTTCCAGCAGTCAGGGACGGGCAAAGAGGAGCCGCTCAGCCTTTCTGCACAACCATTGTTGACCCAGCCACAGCACATTGCGCCGCACAGTAAGTCGCCCTTTGGAAGTAGCCAAATCGTTTGGGGAAATGGGTTGTTCAAACATTTGCGGTGCCAGTCATTTCTCTTTCTCACACTTACTATAACAACAACAACAGCACTTTATTTATATTCCACTCTAATCTCCCCGAGGGGACTCACAACAACAACATTTTATTTATATTCCACTCTATCTCCCCGAGGGGACTCACAACAACAACAAAACTTTATTTATATTTCACTCCATCTCCCCAAGGGGGACTCACAACAACAACAACAACACTTTTTTTATATTCCACTGTAATCTCCCCAAGGGGACTCACAACCACAACAACAACAACAAAAGCAGCACTTTTTTATATTCCACTCTAATCTCCCTGAGGGAATTCACAACAACAACAACACTTTATTTATATTCCACTCTAATCTCCCCGAGAGGACTCACAACAACAACAACCACAACAACAGCACTTTATATTTCACTCTATCTCCCCGAGGGGACTCACAATAACAACAACAACAACAACAGCACTTTATTTATATTCCACTCTTTCTCCCCGGGGGGACTCAGAGCCGATTCCAACATGAAATGGTCCCCGTATGAAAGCCTTCACTTGGGTGGTGGGCAGTGTGGTGTTGGAGGTGGACATTGGCAGGGCTCTTGGACATGTTCATGGTGCCACCAATGGAGAGTGTCAGAAACACTGGGATGTCTGTGGTGGAGGAAAAGCAGAAAATCTAGGATGCAATTGTCCTTGTATGAAAGCCTTCGCTAGGGTGGTAGGCAGTGTGGTGTTTGGGGAGGACATTGGCAGGGCTCTTGGACATGTTCATGGTGTCACCAATGGAGAGAGTCAGAAACACTGGGATGTCTGTGGTGGAGGAAAAACAGAAAATCTACTGAACAAATCAAGCCAAGAAAACCTCATGATAGGCCAGGAATATCAGTCCGCAATAGGTCAACATCTTGGGACTTCTTGCTGAAGTTCAGTCGTGATTTTCCGCTTCCGATTTCTTACCTCTTGCTTCGGAGTTTGCCTTGAGGTCGGCAGACAGAACCGCTTGACGGAGGTTTGCTCGGTGGCATGCAAATCTCTCCTTTTGGGTGGATCTTCCTTCCTCCATCACGCCTGTATCTTTGCCAGAAAGGTGTCAGAAAAAGCCCCGCCGCCGTCACCATGATCCTCCAACTCCTTGATTTTGATTAATATAGAGAAACAAGACTTGGGTTGACTGATAATAAAACTGATAAATGACATCCGAATTACTCGTAGCGGTAATTTATTACATAAAATATCTTTTATTTGACATGCGATTAGTCGCGGGAAGCATCACTCAACCTGACTAGTTTGAACAGGCGCCCAAACTCGGAACGAGAAGGGGAAAAGGGAGGGCGAAACGGAGAGGAGGGATGCGGCCGCGTTTATGGAACACTTTACGCCCGGAGTTGAGGACAAATCTGACTCTAAGTGTTTAAGTGATGGATGGGGTTGGGATACATTTCCCCCTCCTCCCCCAAACCCCCTTCATTACATGCAGATTCCAGGGAGGTCCTGAGCGGAGAAGGTGGGCATTTCCTTGGGTATTTATGGAACTTCTTCATGGATGCCCACAACCAGGCTTTAAGGCCCAGCTATTGACGAGGGTGGAATGAAAAGTAATGCTCCCACCTTCGTTACTTGGGTTTGGATGGGAATATTTTAATAAATAATCCTTGGAATGTGCTCTTTAACACTATTCACTTTTCCACATAATCACCAGACAATTGGATACATTTCTGCCAACAATGAACAAGTTTTCTGAAGCCATCACAGAAGAAGTCAACACTCTGTTTCCGCAGCCAGCGTCTCACAGCGTCTCATCCTGGGTACCCATCGTGCACAGATCTTCCGATAGTCAAGCAAAGCAATAATATGACCCACACATTCTTGTGAAATGCCGATTACGCTTGAAATTTCTCTCTGAGTGATATGACGCTCGTCCTGAATCAATCTGTCAACCTTTTGCTCGTGAAACTCGGTGGTTGCTGTCACAGGACGTCCAATTCTTTGTTTGTCACGCAAGTCAGATGTTCCCACCTCAACATCTTTAAACTTACTTGCCCAACTACTGCTATTCACTTTTCCACATAATTGTTACGCAGCAGTGTATTTTACCCAGTGTCCCAGCACCCAAAGTCCAAATACAAAAGACTCACAGACCACAGTAAAAATGAATGGAAAATCTTTACTCTTTACTCAGCAGGGATGAAACATAAACTTGCAATGTTGCATACAAAAATCAAACCGTGCAACAAACTTACACAGTCTTTGTAAAAAACATAAAATAAGGCATCTTCATCTTACATCAAGTGAGGGATCAAAAAATAACCTATTTCACCATAGCCTACTTCAGAGCTTCTCCAAACTGCTCCCCAGAGCAAAGCCTTTGTGCATAGGTCTCCTCAGAGAAAAGGCTCTCCAGAAGCTCTCCAGGATCTCTCCTTCAGCATCTCTCCTGCAGAAATCCATCTGCAACTGCTGGTGCTGGAACTATATTCTAAAAACTCATACAGATATAGCCCCTTGGGTGTGTTCCAAGCTTGCTGGTTGACCTACATTACCAGCTGTACATGATAATTAACATTATAAGGTTTTTCTTCAACACACACACACACACTTGGTCCTGCAATGACTTAGCGTAATAATAATCATCAGACAATTGGACACATTTCTGCCAACGATGGACAAGTTTTCTGAAGCCGTCACAAAAGAAGTCAACACTCTGTTTCCGCAACCAGCGTCTCACAGTTCTCTCAACTTTGTCATCAGAAGCATAATAATGTCCCTACAAATCTTTCATTATCAGGAACAGGTGGAAGTCAGGCGGTGCTAAATCTGGACTTTATGGAGGATGCCGTACGGTGGTGAGATCCAGTCTCTGAAGTTCTGCTGTGGTGGCATGTGAAGTGTGTGGTCACAGGACTTCCAACTCTTTGTCACACAAGTCAGATGTTCCCACCTCAACATCTTTAAACTTACTCTCCCAATGACGGACAGTACTCACATCAACACAATCATCATAAACAGCTTGCATTCTCTGATGAATCTCCTTTGGGATGACACCTTCTGCTGTCACGAATTCAATGACTGCCCGTTGCTTAAGTCGCATTGACCAACTGTCTGCACAGGATTCTATACTTCGCACTTTAACAACACAACCGTTCAATGCTAAGGCTTCCCGCCAAAATGGAACTGTAGAGGGGAGTCTATTGAACAAGCCAGTACCTGCTGCATACCAGTACTGCCATCTGTTGAGTTACAAAGGTGGAGGCATTACTTTTCATTCAACCCTTGTATTTATCGTGTCAGAAGCAAATTGCAGATATAGTTACAGTAGTCTCGCATATCCGACCTTCGCTTATCCAAGGCTGGGAAGGGAGGATAACATTAGCTCATCCAAGGAAGCCGTTGGCTTTGACAGAGATACTAGGCTGCTTCTGAGGGGGCAGAAATTCAGGTGCAGGGAAGCCCATGAGAAAGAGAGGCAGAAGAAGACAATGGAATTGAACTAAACTTGGCACCCAGAAGTCCCATGATCAACAGAAAATACTGGAAGGGTTTGGTGGGCATTGACCTTGAGTTTTGGAGTTGTAGTTCACCTACATCCAGACTCAAACAATGAAGGATCTGGACCAAACTTGGCACAGATACTCAGTATGACCAAATGTGAACACTAGTGGAGTTTGGGGAGAAATACACCTTGACATTTGGGAGTTGTAGTTACTGGGATTTGTAGTTCGCCTACAGTCGAAGAGCATTCTGAACCCCACCAACGATAGAATTGGGCCAAACTTCCCACACAGAACCGCCATGACCAACAGAAAATACTGTGTTTTCAATATGACCAAACTAGTGGAGTTTGAGAATAGACCTTGACATTTGGGAGTTGTCGTTGCTGGGATTTGTAGTTCACCTACAGTCGAAGAGCATTCTGAACCCCACCAAACGATAGAATTGGGACAAATTTCCCACACAGAACCGCCATGACCAACAGAAAATACTGTGTTTTCTGATGGCTTTTGGCGACCCTTCTGATACCCCCTCGTGACCCCCAGGATGAGAAACACTGCTCCATACTCATTTTGGAAATTCAGCTTGGATCCAAATCGATTGAGGTCCCTTTCTGTGCCCAAGAAGCTGGCCCAGACCCGATTCCTCGCAGGGATGTCTTTTCCCCGTTCCTCTTCTCCTTGCTGCCTTTATTTTTTTGCCACAAGACAGAATTGTTTCACACGTCCCCAAAACGAGTAAAATGGCATTTCGGCTCCTCATCTTTATAGACTCTCTGAACTTTCCGAAAGATCATCCCGGTCCCTTTTCATTAATAATGAAAACCAGGGGGCAATAAAATGTTCTTAGTGTAAGCACTGCCGAAGCGGAGGGAGAGATGGGAGAGGTGAGAGGCCGCCCGTGATGGAATTAGCGGGATGGCGAGGAGGGGGGAACGGGACCCACAGGTGTGTTCGGAGTTTGCCTAGATGCCAACCCAAGGGGAAAAGGGGGCAGAAAGGAATGGCCAGAAGAGAGGGTTTTCCCGAAGCTGGGCTGATTTCCGACTGGAATCAGAAGCAGAACGATTTTTCACAATTTATTTATCGAACTTGCTGTCCCCTGCCAGGCGTTGCTGTGGCCCAGTCTGGTGATCCGGAAAATAAAGTCATGAGGAAGGGTTGGTTTCTAATATATGTAATGTCTTTCTGCTTGTGGGTAAACAGTAGTTTTTGGTGTTTCTTTGTCAGTGTTGATGTGGAGATTGTCTGGTTTGCCTACTCTGGAACATGCAACATGCAAATTGTCCTTCTTTAGGAGTCCCTTTCAAATCTATACTGTATCTGTGTGTGTGTGCGAATCATATATATCCATCTATATCGATGGCTGGATGGCTCTTCGTCAGGAGGGCTTTGATTATGTTTTCTTGCCCTGGTGAAGGGAGTTGGACTGGATGGCCTTAAGTATGGGGGTTCTGTGTGGGAAGTTTGCCCCAATTCTGTCGTTGGTGGGGTTCAGAATGCTCTTTGATTGTAGGTGAACTATAAATCCCAGTAACTACAATTCCCAAATGTCAAGGTCTATTTCCCCCAAACTCCATCTGTGTTCATATTTGGGCATATGGAATATTTGTGCCAAGTTTGGTCCAGATCCATCATTGTTTGAGTCCACAGTGCTCTCTGGATGTAGGTGAACTACAACTCCCAACTCAAGGTCAGTGCCCACCAAACCCTTTTGGTGTTTTCTGTTGGTCATGGGAGTCCTGTGTGCCATGTTTGGTTCAATTCCATCACTGATGGAGTTCAGAATGCTCTTTGATTGTAAGTAAACTATAAGTCCCAGCATATACAACTCCTAAATGGCAAAATCAATTTTTTTGAGTGATGGTCACTCCTTGGGTTAGTAGGTGTCTTGTGTCCAAATTTGGTGTCAATTCGCCCAGTGGTTTTTGAGTTCTGTTAATCCCACAAACGAACATTACATTTTTATTTATATAGATTGAGAACCACAGCCAAAGTTTTCAAACTTGGCATTCAAGTGTTCCCTCCCTACTTCGCGATTTGCTTTTCGCGGACTCGCTGTTTTGCGGGTTTTTGCCTCCTGGCAACGAGGGAGTGTGGAAGTGGGTTTCACCCTCCCCCTCGGGAGAGAGGCAGCCATCATTAAAAAAAGAGAAAGAGGAGATACAAAGCAGTATCATGGCCTTATAGCCCCTTCCTTATATAATTTTTTTGGACCACCCGCGAAAAGTGAAAATCCGCAAAGTAAAAAAACGTAACACCCACGATAAGTGAGGGAACACTGTATATATTAATGTCCTTTGACCAGAAGCTGGCTACTTGGAGTTCCTCTGGTGTTGCTATAAGAAGGTCCTCCATTGTGCATGTGGCAGGGCTTAGGTTGCATTGTAGTAAGTGGTCCGTGGTTTGCTCCTTTCCACGTTCACATGTCGTGGACTCCACTTCGCAGCCCCGTTTCTTATAGTTGGCTCTGCATCTCGTGGTGCCAGAGCACAGTCTATTCAGCGCCTTCTAGGTCGTCCGCTCTTCTGTGTGCCCAGGAAGGAGTTTTTCATTTGGTCTCAGCCACTGATTGAGGTTCCAGGTTTTTGCCTGCCACTTTTGGACTCTCGCTTACTGAGGTGTTCCTGTGAGTATCTCTGTAGGTCTTCAGAAGTTATTTCTTGATTTAAGACATTGTTGTGCTGGCTGATATCCGAATAGAGGATGGGTTGGAGATGTCACTGCCTTGGTCCCTTAATTGCTGGCTGCTCCTTCCCAACGGATGTCAAGTGGTGCAATACCAGCTAAACAGTGTAATTTCTCCAGTGCTGTTGAGCATAGACATCCTGTGATAATGTGGCATGTCTCATTAAGAGCCACTCCACTATTTTAATGTGGTGAGATGTATTCCACACTGGGCATGCGTATTCAGCAGCAGAGTAGCAAAGGGCAAGGGCAGTAAGAGCATCTAAAGCTCCTGTTCAACGATTACAAAGCTCCCTGCTTGAGCAGTGATGGCATGATCGTCAGCATAGATAAAACTCCGTGTCCCTTCTGGCAGTGGCTGGTCATTTGTGTAAATGCTAAACATTGATGGAGCAAGCTTCGGTGAACCATTTCAAAGTTCTGTGCTTGAGCGGTGATGGCGCTATCGTCAGCATAGATGAAACTCTCTGTCCCTTTTGGCATTGGCTGATCATTTGTGTAAATTTTTAGATATTGTTTAAAAAAGCAGAATGATGAAAAACACAAATGACCAGCCACTGCCAGAAGGGACACGGAGTTTCATCTATGCTGACGATCATGCCATCACTGCTCAAGCAGGGAGCTTTGTAATCGTTGAACAGAAGCTTTAGGTGCTCTTACTGCCCTTGCCCTTATATGTTCTGCTTCTCACTCAACCCAGATGGAGAGGCAGGTAATAAATTATTATTATTATTATTATTATTATTATTATGCCGTTGTCTTCCAGGTCCCCCAAGTTCCCGATGGCGGGATTATGGCGCTCTAGCGATCATCATGGCTGGCATCGCTTTTGGCTTCCATCAGCTCTACAAGGTACCTCTCCTTGTGCTTTGTCTATTCATTTACTACTATGGTGGGGAAATATGTCTTAATGGGACACATTAGGAAGGGAGAAGGTTGGCTTAGCATCTGTTGCTAATTCCTGCTTTTAAAGGGAACGGGAAGGGGAAGTATAGATCTATAAAGAGATCTATATGTTGCCATTAATCACCGTGCTTAGCATTGCAAGGCCTTGCAGCTTCAACGCCTGGCTGCTTCCTGCCTGGGGAGGAAGGCAGGGAGGTGTTAGTTGGTCCTGATTGTTTCCTGCCTGGAATTCCCCTTCCAACAAAGGATTCCCCCAGGCAGGAAGCAGCCACGCCTTGAGGCTATTCAATGCTCATCCAGTTCAAAGTAGATAATGTCAATTCTCTGCTTTGATCATTTTGATTATACGGCAGTTTAGAAGGGGCTTTACATTTTTGATGGAAACTCGCATTCTCTGGACACTGAAGTGGTCACTGCCAGAGTAACAAGTAGGATAGACCTTGTTTTGGTGAGGCCTTCCTGCATGGCAGCGGGTTGGACTAGGGGGCCCTTGGGGGTCTCTTCCAATTCTAGGATTCTATCTCAGGAGTAGGAAATTGGAGGTCTAGAGACCCAGGTCAGCCCTTTTGGGATCCAAATGTATCCCATCTCCGAAAGAGAAGAGGAAGGGTAGGAAAGGGCAGGGAGGGGACTTGGGGAGAACCCTTCCTTCTGGCCCATTGTGTGGCCAATCATGTGGTCCATCATGCTGCCTATCGTGCGGACCATTGTGTGGCCCATTGTGTGGCCCATCGTGCTGCTCATTGTGCTGCCCATGGTGCGGCCCATGGTGCTGCCCATCATGTGGCCTATTGTTCGGCCCATGGTGCTGCCCATCATGCTGCCCATTGTACAGCCCATCGTGTAGCCCATTGTGCTGCCCATCGTGCGGCCCATGGTGTTGCTCATGGTGCGGCCCATCGTGCCACCCATCATGCTGCCCATCGTGCTGCTCATCGTGTGGCCCATCGTGCTGCCCATGGTGTGGCCCATGGTCCTTCTCATTATGCTGCCCATCATGCAGTCCATTGTGTGGCCCATCATGCGGCCCATGGTGCGGCCCATGGTGCTTCTCATTGTGCGGCCCATCATACGGCCCATGTTGCTGCTCATTGTTCGGCCCACCATACGGCCCATGTTGCTGCTCATTGTGCGGCCCATCATACGGCCCATGTTGCTGCTCATTGTGCGGCCCATCATACGGCCCATGGTGCTGCTCATTGTTCGGCCCACCATACAGCCCATGGTGCTGCTCATTGTGTGGCCCACCATATGGCCCATGGTGCTGCTCATTGTGTGGCCCATCATACGGCCCATGGTGCTGCTCATTGTGCGGCCCATCATATGGCCCATGGTGCTGCTCATTGTGCGGCCCACCATATGGCCCATGGTGCTGCTCATTGTGTGGCCCATCATACGGCCCATGTTGCTGCTCATTGTGCGGCCCACCATATGGCCCATGGTGCTGCTCATTGTGCGGCCCATCATATGGCCCATGGTGCTGCTCATTGTGCGGCCCATCATATGGCCCATGGTGCTGCTCATTGTGCGGCCCATCATATGGCCCATGGTGCTGCTCATTGTGCGGCCCATCATACGGCCCATGGTGCTGCTCATTGTTCGGCCCACCATATGGCCCATGTTGCTGCTCATTGTGGGGCCCACCATACGGCCCATGGTGCTGCTCATTGTGTGGCCCATCATACGGCCCATGGTGCTGCTCATTGTGTGGCCCATCATACGGCCCATGGTGCTGCTCATTGTGCGGCCCATCATACGGCCCATGGTGCTGCTCATTGTGCTGCCCATCATGCAGCCCATGGTGCTGTCCATTGTGTGGCCCATCGTGTGGTCCATCATGCTGCCCATAATGCTGCCCATCATGTGGCCCATGCTGCGGCCCATGGTGCTGCCCATCTTGCGGCCCATTGTACTGCCCATAGTTCTGCCCATTGTGTTGCCCATGGTGCTTCTCATTGTGCGGCCCATCATGTGGCCCATTGTACTGCCTATCGTGCAGCCCATCGTGCTGCCCATCGTGTTGCCCATTGTGCTGCTCATTGTGTTGCCCAAGTTGGTGCAGCCCCCAAGTTAGAAAGTTTGCCCATGCCTGATTGAGTCCCGTTTGTTCCCCGTGCCCCTTGCGTTTCTATTCTCGTATGCAGAAATACCTGCTCCCTCTGATCATGGGCGGCAAAGAAGACAGGAAGCAGCTCCAGAGGATCGAGACGAGCGTCTCCGAGATGAGTGGCAGCGTGACGCAGACAGGTGAAGATTAATGATCCCATCCATCGCTGCCCCCCCTCCGAGCCCCCCCCCCATCTCTCTCCCCCTCCATCTCCACTTTATGTGGTGACTTCATTTATCTGCTCTGAGAAATCTGTTCACATTTGCAAATGAAGCCGCCGTCATTTCGGTTTAATTTGAAATTGCTTGTTTACTGTCGGCGCGGCCTCAATTAATTATGTTTTTACGGAAAGGCTCCCAACCTCAGAATATTAATAAGGGGAATCAAATGACAGCCTTTGCGAAGGGGCTGTAAAGTTCATTTTTAATTTCTGCTTCTCGGAGGGCTCTTTCCCCCCCTCTTTGGGGCTGGGCCTCCTTCTCTTCTGCCGCCGCGGCGTTCCCTTTCTGAGGATGCGAGGCCGGGTCAAGAGAGGCTGTAATTACGGAGCGCTCCCCCCGACCTCCGCCACCTTCTCCGTTATTGACTCGATGGGGCACCTTTTCATTACCCGCTGCTCTTGAGAGTGACCCAGATTAGCTCCTACCTGTCATCGCGCTGCAATGCTATTTTATGAAGCTGTTTACTGGGAAGAAGCTCTGAATTAGAACCTTTTTTTGGAAAAAAAAAATCTGCAGAAAATTAATAAAGCAATTCCTCTCTTCCGCTCGTCGGTTTTCTGGGTTTTTCTCAGAGGAAAAAATGCTTGATGGTCTCCGGGTGAATTGCTCCTTCTGTCTTGTCCCTAAATCACAAGGAGACCCATTCAATCAACTGTTGAATAGAAAATCAACACATAGATGTTCGGGGTTTCCGCCAGAAGTGGGGAAAAGGGGCTCCAGAGGCCCAATTTCGTTTATTTTTTAGTTATCCTTTTATTATTTTTAAGTGTGCTTTAAAGTGTTGGGACTTTGCCAGGTGCCCCCCTGCTTTCATCCCTTCTTTTTCTTTCTCTCCCTTCATACCTTCTCCCCTTCCTTCCTTCCTTCCCTCATTTTTCTTCCATCTCCCTCCCTTTTTCACTCCTTGTTTTTCTCATTCTTTCTTCCCTTCCCCTCCCTTTGCTTCTCCAGCTTTGGGAGGTTCTACCTCTCAATGCCTCTATCACAATATCTCTTCGTGGCTCCCTCCCTCTTTCCCTCCTTCCTTCTTTTCTTCCTGCCTTCCCTCCATCCTTCCTTCCCTCCCTCCCTCCCTCCCTGTCACTCTCCTTCCTTCCTTCCCTCCTCCTTCCTTCCTTCCCTTCCTTCCTTCCTTCCTCTCTCCTTTTCCCTCCTCCTTCTTTCCTTCTCCTCTCCCTCCCTCCATCCCCCTCCTCCCTTTCCCTCCTCTCTCCTCCCTCCTTCCTCCTTCCCTTCCTCCTCTCTCTCTCCTTCTTTCTTTCCTCTCTCCTTCTTTCTTCTTCCCTCTCTTCCTCTTCCTTCTTGCCTTTCCTCCTCCCTTTCCCTCCTTCCCTCCCTCCCCCCTCTCTCCTCTCCTTTCCTTCCTCCCTCTCCCCTTCCCTCCCCTCCTTCCTTCCTCTTCCTTCCTTCCTTCCTTACCTCCTTCTTTCTCCCTTCCCCCTTCCCTTCCCCTTCTCTTTCATCCTTCCTTCTTTCTTTCCTCCCTCCTTCCTTTTCTCTATTTCTCCTTCCTTCCCTTTTGTCTTTCCTCCCTCCCTCCTTCCTCCTCTCTCTCCTTCCTTCCTTCCTTCCTTCCTTCCTTCCTTCCTTCCTTCCTTCTTCCTTCCTTCCTTCTTCTTCCTTCCTTCCTCCTCCTTCTCCTTCTTTCCTTCCTTCCCTCCCTCCCTCCCTCTCTCTTCCTTCCTTCTTTCCCTTCCTCCTCCTCCCTTCCTTCCTCCTCCCTCCTTCTTTCCTTCCTTTCCTACCTCCCTCCTTCCTTCCCTCCCTCCTTTTTCCTTTCCTCTCTTCCTCCCTCTCACCTTCCTTCTCTCCCTCCCTCCTTCCTCCCTCCTTTCCTTCCTTCCTTCCTCCCTCCCTCCCTCCCTTCCCTCCCCTCTTACACATGTCATCTCTTTTTCCCAGTGACATCACAAAGCGCCACTTCACCCCACAACACCCTTCTTCAACTTTCCTTTATATAGATGTAATAGTTTAATTTTACTTGATTTTAACATGTTGCCCGCTCACCTTGGCATTGATGCCAAGGGAAAATTTCATATAAAATAATTAAATAACGCCACGGTGAATCGGAATGCCAACCGTTTGGCCCACTTGGAAGATACGTGGGAAAGTTTCCACAATACTTTTTTTCGGTTGGTTCTGTGCCCGGCCTTGTCACCACGAGATCAGGGGAGCTCCATGGGTTGTGGGGACTCCCTAAACCTTCCGGGGTGCAGCCGTTCCCTTTCTGGTTGCCTTTCGGCTCCTTCCCGGGGACTCATCGGCCAGACTTCCTTCCTGTGCGCAGTTGGGAGATAGATAAACGATACCCGAGCCGTGCGAGTTCGCAGAGACCGCGCAAATCATAAAACCCATATAATTAGAAGGGAGAGGCTTCCGACGGATATACGGTGGGTTATAGACATCTATACAAAGGGAAGATAAAGGAGAAATAGGGGAGGTTAGATACAGTGCAGGTGGATGGCCCATCGAGCAGATAAATTAGGCCTAGCTTCGAGCAAGCACATGGCTGGAGATAAATCAGGAGGAACAGAGGGATCTTGTCGCTGGGCTTCTGCTTTTTAACAGACCTCCTCTCTTCTCTTTGCTCTGTTTCCGCTGCTCTTGCCAAAGTCACTCAGCTCCAGACGACCCTCGCTTCCGTCCAGGAGCTTCTCCTTCAGCAGCAGCAGAAGATCCAGGAGCTCACTCAAGAACTGGCGGCCTCAAAGGTAAACTCTCCCAATCCGACCCAAGGAGCGCTTGGCATGCTGAGTTAACCCCACAAAACTACATCACTACTTAAAGTTTATTATGTTGGGCAGGTTTGCTCTAGATCAGTGTTTCTCAACCTGGGGGTTGGGACCCCTGGGGGGGATCGTGAGAGGGTGTCAGAGGGGTCGCCAAAGATAATCAGAAAACAAAGTATTTTCTGTTGGTCATGGGGGCTCTATGTGGAAAGTTTGGTCCAATTCTATCCTTAGTGGGGTTCAGAATTCTCTTTGATTGTAGGTGGACTATAAATCCCATCAACAACTTCCAAATATCAAGGTCTATTTTCCCAAAACTCTACCAGAGTTCACATTTGGGCATACTGTGTATTCGTGCCAAGTTTGGTCCAGATCCATCATTGTTTGAGTACACAGTGCTCTCTGGATGTAGGTGAACTACAACTCCCAAATCCCAAGGTCAATGCCCACCAAACCCTTCCAGTATTTTCTGTTGGTCATGGGAGAACTGTGTGCCAAGTTTGGTTCAATTCCATCGTTGGTGGGGTTCAGAATGCTCTTTGATTGTAGGTGAACTATAAATCCCAGCAACTACAACTCCCAAATGACAAAATCAATTTTTGAGTGAAGGACATACATTGGGTTGTTAGGTGTCTTGTGTCCAAATTTGGTGTCAATTCGTCCAGTGGTTTTTGAGTTATGTTAATCCCACAAACGAACATGACATTTTTATTTATATAGATAGCATCCCTACTTCGCGGATTTTCACTTATCACGGGTGGTCCTGGAACATAACACCCGCGATTAGTGAGGAAACACAGTACGGATTATTATTTCTTTCCCGCTTTATCTCAGTGGGAAAATAAAAAGAAACACTGGGAATGGCTTCCCTTGGATCTAAAGCTGTCCCAAATGGCAGGAAAGTGCTGCCAAGGCTTCTTGGTTTGTCACTCTGGTTGACTTCAATCTGGTTGACTCCAAACCCAGCCAGGAAATTGGGCTTCTCTCTCCTTTTGAATATGAAGAGCACATGTTCTCCTTTTCAGAAGAGACGAAACATCTTAGTTTGGAGGATGGAGGACTTTCCCTCCTTATCCCTCTTAAAATGGTAGCGCGGTCGCGGCGGTGTGATCGAAACCTCATGTGCGTATATAGATCCAAAAAGCAAAAGTCTGGGCCGAGCCCATAAACTTGGGTTTTCAAAGAAGAAAATAATTAAGAGTTTTCTCAGCTGTGGTGTAAGGTTTGGTATCCGCTTTCCAAACTCCTCTGAAATATTTAAAGCATTTTTTAAAAAAAAATCCACATTGACTTTAAGTGGAGAGCGTCGTCAGCTTGGATTCCGGTCCTTGTGCTTTCTCGCACTTTTTTTGGTGCGTTGAAAAGAACTGACTTAAAAAGCCCCAGATGTCAGCTTTTATTTCTGAAATCCGTCAGCATCTGGCACCATATGTGTTTTGGAAATTCAAATCCCCCCTCCTTTTTTTTTTTGCAAGCCAGTGAAGGGAAATCTCTCTTCTTGTTAATGGGTTTCAGAAAGCACAGAGAGCCAAAACGGTGGCTCCCTGATTTATTTATTTATTTACAATACTAGCCGTCCCCTGCCACGCGTTGCTGTGGGCCACATGGCGGTTCTGTGTGGGAGGTTTGGCCCCATTCTATCGTTGGTGGGGTTCAGAATGCTCTGTGATTCTAGGTGAACTATAAATCCCAGCAACTACAACTCCCAAATGTCAATATTCTATTTTCCCCAAACTCCACCAGTGTTCACATTTGGGCATATTGAGTCTTCATGTAGAGTTTGGTCCAGATCCATCATTGTTTGAGTCCACAGTCATCTTTGGATGTAAGTGAACTACAACTCCCAAACCAAAGGACACTGCCCACCAAACCCTTGCAATATTTTCTCTTGGTCATGGGAGAACTGTGTGCCAAATTTGGTTCAATTCCAACGTTGGTGGGGTTCAGAGTGCTCTGTGATTGTAGGTGAACTATAAATCCCAGCAACTACAACTCCCAAAGGTCAAGATTCTATTTTCCCCAAACTCCCCCAGTGTTCACATTTGGGCATATTGAGTCTTCGTGTAGAGTTTGGTCCAGATCCATCATTGTTTGAGTCCTCAGTGATCTTTGGATGTAGGTGAACTGCAACTCCAAAACCAAAGGACGCTGCCCATCAAACTCTTCCAGTATTTTCTGTTGGTCATGGGAGAACTGTGTGCCAAGTTTGGTTCAATTCCAACGTTGGTGGGGTTCAGAATGTTCTGTGATTGTAGGTGAACTATAAATCCCAGCAATTACATCTCCCAAATGACAAAATCATTTTTTTTTAGTGAAGGACATACATTGGGTTGTTCGGTGTCTTGTGTCCAAATTTGGTGTCAATTCCCCCAGTGGTTTTTGAGTTATGTTAATCGCACAAACGAACATTACATTTTTATTTATATAGATTTATATTCTGCCCTTCTCAGGGCGGATTACAATGTACACATACATGGCAAACATTCAGCGCCATAGACACACAACATATATAGACAGACACTCAGAGGCTATTTAACATTCCAGCTTCTGGCCACCAAGGGAGTTGTCGCTTCACCGTCCGTTTGTGACACTGATGGAGTACTTCCTCATTTTTTGCATACTTCCTGGAGATCTTTATGGCCTCGTAAATAAGTTAGCCTCCCCACATAAGTGGTACCTAAATTTCCTACTTGACAGATGCAACTGTCTTTTGGGCTGCAAAGGTCGACAACAAGCTACACAATTTTGGTTGGAAGCTCACTGTGACCTGGGCTGGCTTTGAACTCATGGCCTTCCGGGCAGTAGTGATCTTAATGCAGCTGACTCCCAGCCAGCTGCTCCACAGTCCTGGTGCAAATCCCAGATCCCCGCAAAGGCCTTTGGAAATGAGGAATCCCTTGTGGGAGAGCATATCTGGGCCTGCGTTTGTTAGATACTACAGAGCGGAGTCAGTCACAACCAAGAATAGCTGTGATTTTGAAGATGCTCCAAGTTTTAAATAACTCCAAACATGGATACACCTGTGGATCTGGTTTGAGAGATAGTTGAGGCCAAGAGGTGCATCTACACCGGGAAAATTTTGGCCTTCCAGGTGTTTTGAACTCCAACTCCCCAGATTCCTCCCTTCCTTTCCTTCCTTCCATTCCCCGCCTTCCTTCTTTCCTTTCCTTCCCTCCCTCCCTCCCTCTCTCCCTGCTTCTCTCCTTCCTTCCTCCCTCCTTCCTTCCTTTCCTCCCTCCCGCTCCCTTTCTTCTTTTTCTTTCTTCTTTCCTTTCTTTTTTCTCTTTCTCCTTCTTTCTCTTCTTTCTTTCTTTCTTCCTTCCTCCTTTTCTTTCCTTCCTTCCCCCTCCCCTTCCTTCCTTCTCCCTCCTCCTCCTTCTCTTCCTTCTTTCCTTCCCTCCCCTCCCTCCCTCCCTCCCACCTCCTTCCTCCCTTCCTTTCCTTCCTTCCATCCCCGCCTTCCTTCTTTCCTTTCCTTCCTTCCCTCCCTGCTTCTCTCCCTGCTTCTCTCCCTCCTTCATTCCCACCCACCTCCCTCCCTCCCTCTCTCCTTCCTTCTTTCCTTCCTTTCCTCCTTCCTTCCTTCTTTCCTTTCCTCCTTCCTCCCTTCCTTCCTTCCTTCTTCCTTCCTTCCTTCCTTCCTTCTTCCTGTCTTCCTTCCTTCCTTCCTTCTTTCCTTCCCCTCTCTCCTTCCTTCCCTTCCTTTTCTTCCTTCCCTCCTTCCTTTCCTTTCCTTCCTCCTTCCCTCCTGCTTCTCTCCCTGCTTCTCTCCTCCTTCTTCCCTCTCCCTCCCTCCTCTCTCCTTCCTTCTTTCTTCCTTTCCTCCTTCCTTCTTCTTCCTTCTCCTCCCTCCCTCCCCTTCCTTTTCCTTCTCCTTCCTTCCTTCCTTCCTTCCTTCCTTTCTTCCTTCCTTCCTTCCTCCCTCCCTCCCTCCTCCCCTCCCTCCTTCTCCTTCCTTCCTTCCTTCCTTCCTTCCTTCATTCTTTCCTTCCCTCCTCCCTCCCTCCCTCCTCCCTCCTCCTTCTCCTTCCTTTCCTCTTCCTCCTTCCCCCTTCTTCTTTCCTTTCCTTCTTCCCTCTCTTCCTCCCTCTTCTCTCCCTCCTTCTTCCCACCACCCCCTCTCCCTCCTCCTTCCTTCCTTCTTCTCCTTCCTTCTTTCCTTCCTCCCTCCCACTCCCTTCCTTCTCTTACATCTCTTCTCCTCTGTTTCCCTCCCTCCCCCTTCCTTTCCTTCCTCTCTCCCCTTCCTTCTTTCCATCTTCCTCCTCTTTCCTTACTTCCTTCCCTCCCTCCCTCCTCTTCTTCCTCCTTCCCACCTCTCCTCTTCCTCCTCCTTCCTTTTCCTTCCTTTTCCTCCTTCCTTCCTTCTTTCCTTTCCTCCCTCCTCCCTTCCTTCCTTCTTCCTACCTTCCTTCCTTCCTCTTCCTTCTTCTCTTCCTTCCTTCCTCCTTCTTCCTTCTTCCCTCCTCCTCCCTCCCTCCCTCCCTCCCTTCCCTCCCTCCCTCCCTCCCTCCTCTCTCCCTTCTTTCCTTCTTCCTTCCTTCCTTCTTTCCTTTCTTCCTTTCCTCCTTTCCCTCCTCTCCTCCTTCTTCCCTCCCTCTCCTCCCTCCTCCTTCCTTCCTTCCTTCTTCCTTCCTTCCTTCTCCTTTCCTTCCCTTCCTTCCTTCCTTCTTCCTCCTCCTTCCTTCCTTCTTCCTTCTTCCTTCTTTCCTTCCTTTTCCTTCTCCCTCCTCCTCCCTTCCTCTTTCCTCTTTCCTTCCTTCCTTCCCCTGCCTTCCTTCTTTCCTTTCCTTCCTTCCCTCCCTGCTTCTCTCCCTGCTTCTCTCCCTCCTTCATTCCCACCCATCTCTCCCTCCTCTCTCCTTCCTTCTTTCCTTCTTTCCTCCTTCCTTCCTTCTTTCCTTCCTCCCTCCCTCCCCTCCTTCTTCCTCTTCCTCCTTTCTTTCTTCCTTCTTCTTCTTCCTTCCCTCCCTCCTCTCCTCCCTCCCTTCCTTTCCTTCCATCCCCTTCCTTCTTTCCTTTCCTTCCTTCCCTCCCTGCTTCTCTCCCTGCTTCTCTCCCTCCTTCATTCCCACCCATCTCCCTCCCTCCCTCTCTCCTTCCTTCTTTCCTTCCTTTCCTCCTTCCTTCCTTCTTTCCTTTCCTCCCTCCCGCTCCCCTTCCTTCCTTCTTCCTACCTTCCTTCCTTCCTTCCTTCCTTCTTTCCTTCCCTCCCTCATCCCTCCCTCCCTCCCTCCCTCCCTCCCACCTCCTTCCTCCCTTCCTTTCCTTCCTTCCATCCCAGCCCTTCCTTCTTTCCTTTCCTTCCTTCCCTCCCTGCTTCTCTCCCTGCTTCTCTCCCTCCTTCATTCCCACCCACCTCCCTCCCTCCCTCTCTCCTTCCTTCCTTCCTTCCTTTCCTCTCCTTCCTTCCTTCCTTCCTTCCTCCCTCCCTCCCTCCCTTCCTTCTTTCTTCCTTCCTTCCTTCCTTCCTTCCTTTCTTTCCTTCCTTCCCTCCTCCTTCCTCCTTCCTTTCCTTCCTTCCTTCCCCCCCTTCCTTTTCCTTTTCTTCCTTCCCTCCCTGCTTTTCTCCCTGCTTCTCTTCCTTCTTCCCCCCCCCCCTCTCTTCTCTTCCTTCCTTCCTTCCTTCCTTCCTTCCTTCCTTCCTTCCTTCCTTCCTTCCTTCCCTCCCTCCTTCCTTCCTTCCTTCCTTCCTCCCTCCTTCCTTCCTTCCCCTCCTCCTTCTGTTTTGAACTCCAACTCCCCAAATTCCTTCAATACATAGACGATATACATAGCGCACACATGGGCCAATTTTGGCTCTCCCGGTGTTGCGTTGTCACCTCCTGGTTGTGTGGCCGGCACGGTTTCTTGTAGCGTCTCTTTGCCTTTTCCTGCCAAAGCAGTACCTATTGATCTACTCACATTTGCATGTTTTCGAACTGCTAGGTTGTTACATGCGGCTCGCTCTCTGTCATTATGTTTGGTTTCTATGTTTTGTGTATATTGTTTTATATGTTTTGGTGTTTTTCACTTTAATGTTATGTTGTTGTAATTTGTTGTTTGGGCTTGTCCCCATGTCAGCCGCTCCGAGTCCTCGTTGGGGAGATGGTGGCAGGGTATAAATAAAGTTTATTATTATTAATTATTATTATTATTATTATTGGAGCTGGACCTGGAGCTGGAGCTGACACGGGGAGCTCACCCCGTCTCGCGGATTTGAACTGCCAACCTTCAGGTCAACAGTTCAGCAGCACAAATAATGAGAAAAGAAAACCCAGATGCACCGGGATTGTGGCGCAGCTGGCTAAGTGTCAGCTGCATTAAGATCACTCTGACCAAAAGGTCATGAGTTCGAAGCCAGCCTGGGTTGGAGTGGGTTTCCAACCAATTGTGTAGCCTGTTGTCGACCTTTGCAACCCAAAAGACAGTTGCATCTGTCAAGTAGGAAAATTAGGTACCACCTTAAACTGTGGGGAGGCTAAATTAACTGATTTATGAGGCCATAAAGAAGACTCCAACAAAGCATTCCAGCGGGGAAGCAGATGGACGATGAAAGCGACAGCTCCCCTGGTGGCCAGAAAAAGTTAAATAGCCTCTGTGTATGTCTGTATATGTTTGTATGTCAAAATTGGCATTGAATGTTTGCCATATATGTGTACACTGTAATCCGCCCTGAGTCCCCTGCGGGGTGAGGAGAAGGGCGGAATAGAAAAGCTGTAAATAAATAAAATAAATAAAATTTAGAAATGCTCTGGAGGTTATTGTCCGGCGCTCAGAACTTCACCTGACTTTTGCCCGTCTCTGATTCTCACCTTGTTTTTCCATCACAGGCGACAACATCCACCAACTGGATCCTGGAGTCTCAAAATATCAACGAATTGAAGTCTGAGATCTATTCACTCAAGGGACTCCTTCTGAACAGGTACGAAGTCACACCGATGAGAGAGAAGGAGGATGTGATTATTTTTCCATGGATTTTGTTATTACTGGTCCCCAAACTCTGGTTTCCCAGCGTCCTGGTCCAACACTCAAACCACAACCTCTGTTTCCTTAAGTAATGTTGTTTTGTGTTTCTGCGGAAATTAAAAAGGCATCAACACAACCTCCACTTTGCGAATACCGCTTATTCCATTCCGAGCGCTTTCTCGTTGCTCGGGAAGAAGCAAGACAAGGACAGACGCGTGCTTCTTTGCAAGAGGACATCTTGTCATTCAGAGGGAATCCATTTGTTTTTGTTGGTGTGTGTTAGTGCAGCTGTGTAGATAAGTGCTGGGGGGGGGGGGGGGGGGGGGGGGGGGATATAGTCCTTAAAATATAGTCCTCCGCACAAGGTGGAGGCCGCAACACCGGAGCCAAGAAAAGTCACCGAAATCAATTTCCCAATTTACGATGCTAGTGAATAAAATTCGCTCGTTTGCATGCTGAGGTGGCAGACATTTCTTCCAAGACGAGATCAGAAAGAGTTTGTGACTCAATGTAGTTTAGGAAATTTTACAATTGGCGTTGTCAAAGTAGGGAACCAGCATGAGATAGTTGTGGTTGTAGCATTAGATTGCGATTGAGGAGATCCACATTCCATGAAAACGCATTGAATGACATTGGAGCAATCCACTTGTGCTCTTTTCTCCTCTCACTTCCTCCCTTGATCTGACCCACTGTTATTGTGGGGATGAAATTGAGACGTGAATAAATATAGGATATGCTTCCTGTTGGGATTCAGCCCAACAATACCCAAGTCTCAAGTCCTCAGTGAGGAACAGTTTAGTTAGTTTAATATAGACAAAGGCAACATTTCTCAACCTGGGGGTCGCGACCCTTGAGTGGGTCGTGAGGGGGTTTCAGAAGGGTCGCCAAAGACCATCAGAAAACACATATTTCTGATCGTCTTAGGCATTGCTTTGGTAGAGAAGGCTGAAAATCTCTGCCTTCAATGAGGGCCCCTAATAGACCAGCGTTTCTCAACCTGGGGGTCACAACCACAAGGTGGGTCGCAAGGGGTTTCAGAGGGGTTGCCAAAGACCATCAGAAAGCACATATTTCTGATGGTATTACGCATCCCTTTGGTAGAAAAGACTGAAAATCTCTGCCTTCAATGAGGGCCCCTAATAGACGAGCGTTTCTCAACCTGGGGGTCACAAACAAAAGGTGGGTCGCAAGGGGTTTCAGAGGGGTCGCCAAAGACCATCAGAAAACATATATTTCTGATGGTCTTAAGCATCCCTTTGGTAGAGAAGGCTGAAAATCTCTGCCTTCAATGAGGGTCCCTAATAGACCAGTGTTTCTCAACCTGGGGGTCGCAACCACAAGGTGGGTTGCAAGGGGTTTCAGAGGGGTCGCCAAAGACCACCAGAAAACATATATTTCTGATGGTCTTAGGAACCCCTTTGGCAGAGAAGGATGAAGATCTCTCCACCTGTCCTTCCCTTCCTTTTTGGAAACAGACGGCGAATCCTCCACCAAAAGCCCTTCTCCACTGTGATTGGCTAGCCTCTCAGCTGGTCTCAGCCAATGAGAAAGCTGTTTCTGAGACTCCAATTGGGAAGGGGAGAGCAGACTGCTCTGCGCATGTGGGCGAGGGAGAGCATGCAAGGCTGGAGGGAGGCGCATGTCAGTTTGGCTCAGTTCTATCGTTGGTGGAGTTCAGAATGCTCTTTGAGTGTAGGTTAACTATAAATCCCAGGAACTACAACTCCCAAATGGCAAAATCAATCCCCCCCCCCCCAAATTTGGGCATATCGGGTATTTGTGCCAAATTTGGCCCACTGAATGAAAATACATCCTGAGTATCAGATATTGACATGACGATTCACAAGAGTAGCAAAATTACAGTTATGAAGTAGCACCGAAAATCATTCTGTGGTTGGGGGTCACCACAACCTGAGGAACTGTATTAAGGGGTCGATTATTCTGCATGTGTCCAGCTTCTGTCTCTCACACAGAAACTCTTTTGTGTCTCCCGTGTTTCTCACAGGAGGCAGTTCCCTCCCTCGCCGTCGGCACCCAAAATCCCCTCCTGGCAGATCCCGGTCAAGCCCTCCTCGCCTTCCAATCCAGTTTCCAACAACCACAACAACACCAGCAGTGACATCTCCCCGGTCAGCAACGAGTCCAACTCCTCCTCCCCCGTGAAAGAGAACCACAGCCCCGAGGGGCCGAAAGTGAGCTGCCACTTGCTGGGCCCCGCGGAGGAAGGCGAGGAGGCAGTGATCGACCTGAAGGGCCAGGTGCGGATGGAGGTCCAAGGGGAGGAGGAGAAGAGGGAGGACGACGGGAAGGAGGAAGAGGAGGAAGAGGAAGAGGAGGACGACGTCAGTCATGTGGACGAAGAGGAGTGCTTGGACGTCCAGACAGAGGACCGGCGAGGAGGAGACGGGCAGATCAACGAGCAAGTCGAGAAGCTACGGAGGCCCGAGGGAGCCAGTAACGAGAACGAGATTGACTAGCACAACGGGGAGTGTGGCTCCCGTCTCACCCCACATCTCTCCCCCGTTCCCCAATCTTTGGGCCCCAGTAATGCTCTCCTCTCACCTCTCTGATTCACCTAGTGAACCAAGCGGCCTCCTCGGCATCCTCGACCCGAGTGGCTGCTCCTCACTGTGGCTCCACTTCATCCTCCTCCATCACATCAGCTTCGTCCATAGTCGTCCTGGCTAATGACGCACAGCCAAATACTAATTCATGGATCGAACGTGGCTCCTGCCTTACGAATGGTTCCCCTCAAGCCAAGAATGGGATGGTCCTCCTTCCTTTCGGTTTCCCTGGAGGATCCTTTTGTTCTGCCCTCTCAGATCATCTCCTCAAATCCAACCTATGCTGAGTAAATACTCTCAGCCTTTATGAAACACGTTTCCCGACCGTTCTTCCTTTCTGGACAAAATCACTTCCTTCTCCTCATTCTTTTGCCCCCTCATTTCCACTTTGCTTCCTTCCATGCGCCTTTGTGGACATCTTGATTCGCTGGAGTCCAGAGCAGTCAGGAGTTGGAAGGAGCCATTGGAAGCAGCCCTGAGTCTCAAATGTTTCTCCACCTTCTCGTTGCTTAGACTTGGAATGGCAGCTTTCATCTATTTTTCTCGTTCCCTCCATTTCTTCTAGTGCTTCCCATATGTCAAAATTGATGTTCTTAATAAGAGGAGGAGAGACAGAGTGGAAGTGGCTTGAATTTGTCTGTGGCTGCCAGTTATGGTTGAAATTACAGTAAAGTCTCGCTAATCCGACCTTCTCTTATCCAACATTCTCTCTGATACAAAATCGCATTGGATAGGCCACATCAGCTCTAGTTTCTGATACAGTAGTTACCATCTGCTTGCCCACTGAAAACCATATTTAATAATCTAGAGCTGATGTGGTACAGTAGAGTCTCACTTATCCGACCTTTGCTTATCYGACATTTCCTCTTATCCGATGCCCTGATCCAAAATYGCATTGGATAGACCACATCAGCTCTAGTTTCTAATACAGTAGTCTCCATCCGCTTGCCCACTGAAAAACATATTTAATAATCTAGAGCTGATGTGGTACAATAGAGTCTCGCTTATCTGACCTTTGCTTATCCGACTTCCACCTTATCCGATGCACCTGTTTTCCTCCTTTCAATTAAAGGAGCGCTTCCAAACTCTCTTTCCATTTCCAATCAGTGAAAAGGCAAGACAAGGAGGAGGAGTTGTGAGGAGAGGGGGAAAGAGGCAAGAAGTGGAAGTGTCCTCCCTCCTTTCCTCTGTGATTTCAACGCTCCTCTTCCTCATGCAAGCATTTCCTGCTGGGCCTCTCTAGCCCCGGGGCGTTGCCTTGCCTTAACTCTTTTAGTCCCTGTTGTTAGTATTCTAGAAGTCTAGCGTCACGTCGGACGGGTAACAGTGGGAGACTCCGTATTATCCAACATTTTCGTTTATCTGACGTTCTGCCAGCCCATTTATGTCAGATAAGCGAGTCTCTACTGTCTTTTGGAAAGCTCTCTCCTTCCTGTTTAGGGTGCTAGAAGGTCAATGGCTATTGATCTTTGAATTCCGAGTTTTTAGGTGCGTCCAATGAAAAGAGAACTTCACATATCAGCTCGTCCCAGTCTAAGGGTCAAACAAAACTACATAGTTGTGGTCCCTTCCTCACAACACAACAACGTCATCCCCTCTTCTTCGCCTGCGTCCTCACTCCGGCTTCCGTTTCCCCCTCACTTTTGCCTTATTGGGTGAAGAAAACGGTAACGAAACCACCGGTTCCTGTTTCGCGGCATTGTGTCGTCGGCAAAATGTCTGATTCCCGTTCACGTCCTTAACGGGAACAAAGAAACCGAGCCTCGAATCCTGTAACATCTTGAGTCTCTCACTGCTCCTTAATCCTCGCGACGAGGAAAACTGAAATGTGCTTGTCTGTGTGATCATGTATAGAATCCAACTATAAAATATGATTGTATATAATTGTAATAAATATGAGTTACCACTATTCAATGTCCGGGTTTGGCTTCTCTGGCTCCATCTCGTTCTCTCTGGTTTGTTGCTATCTTTCTCCTCTTTTGCAATTTGTTGCTTGTTTTCATCTGGAAAATGGGCTGACAGCAAGATGGACTCCAGAATCGAAATGTGGGTGAAATGTCAGGAGAGAATGCTTCTGGAACATGGCCATACAGCCTGGAAAACTCACAGCAACCCAGTGATTCTGGCCATGAAAGCCTTTGACAATACAAAGTAAACATATTCCGTCCAAATCATTATAGTCCCACAGTCTTCTTTTACAGCAGTGGTTCTCAATCTTTTTTTGACGAGGGACCACTTTGACCAGTGACCACTTGACCAGGGACCACTCTCCAACATTAGTACCAAAAGGGTTATGAATCGGTTTTTAGATTCTGTTATTTGGGGAGCTGATTCAAAAAATTTCATTGGGTAGACCACATCAGCTTTAGTTTCTGATACAGAACATATACCATCCAGTAGTCGCCATCTGCTCACACACAGAAAACCGTAGAACTGATGTGGTAGTAGTAATCTTTCGTGATAGTCAGCCTCTCCCCTGCTGACATCCCCATTTCTTGAGACCAGTTGCTCTCGTTGCTGCACGTCTTTGAGGCAACAGTGTAGTAGTGGTGAGACCATGGACCATATTTTCGTTTTCGTGGTCCACAGACTGAGAGAGGAATCCTGGGCTGGATGTTGCCTGACGTAATTCTGTGTGTGTCTTGGTTTCCTGGAAAATGTATGTCACCAAACGCGATGGCAGTCTTCTGGAGGACCTCAACTTTGATTTAAAGCAGTGTTTCCCAACCTGTGGTCTGTGGGCCACCAGTGGTCCTCAGCAACTAAAATATTGTCCATGGCCTCACCTTTATTACATTGTTGTAACAAGAGCAATTGGTCTCGCTAAACCCTCTTATAGTGCCCAGGTTTCCTGTGGGAGAGCAGATGGTGACTGCTGGATGGCATATGTTCTGTATCAGAAACTAGAGCTGATGTGGTCTATCCAATGCAATTTTCTGAATCAGCACCCCAAATAACCAAACCGAATCTACAGTTAACCAAAAATTTGATTCGTAACACTAGCCCTTTTGGTACTAATGTTGGAGACTGGTCCCTGGTCAAGTGGTCCCTTGTCAAAGAGGTTCCTCATCAAAGAGGTCCCTGGTCAAGTATTCCTTGGTCAAAGTGGACCCCGGTCAACGTGGTCGCTGGTCTAGTGGTCCCTCGTCAAAGAGGTTCCTCGTCAAAGAGGTCCCTAGTCAAGTATTTCTTGGTCAAAGTGGTCCCTGGTCAAAGAAGTCCCTGGTCTAGTGGTCCCTCGTCAAAGAGGTCCTTCGTCAAGCATTCCTTGGTCAAAGTGGTCCCTGGTCAAGTGGTCCCTGGTAAAAGAAGTCTCTGATTTAGTGGTCCCTCATCAAAGAGGTCCTGGTCAAGTATTCCTTGGTCAGAGTGGTCCCTGGTCAAGTGGTTCCTAGTCAAAGAAGTCCCTGGTCTTGCGGTCCCTCATCAAAGAGGTCCCTGGTCAAGTATTCCTTGGTCAAAGAAGTCCCTGGTCTAGTGGTCCCTCGTCAAAGAGTTCCTTCGTCAAAGAGGTCCCTGGTCAAAGAAGACCTTCTTCAAAGTGGTCCCTGGTCAAAATAAGGTTGAGAATCACTGATTTAAAGGAACCTCAGGTTTCTAGACAGAAACCTACTTTCAACGTTGGGGCAGATGTCTGATGGGACCTCAAAAAACCAGATAGGGAGTGAAGATTTGATGCTTTGCATTGGGCTTTCTTCACAACTGAACTAACGTAATGGATGAACAGATATGGAAAACACGAGCCCTTTTCAGTACAGCCACAGGCATCCATGTTTTCCAAGAAACGAAATAATTATTACTATTTATTATTTTCCCCTTCGAAATGTTTGAGGTTATGAACTGACCCTCGAATGGCGAATTGTTTCCTACCTCTATGTTTAACCTGGTGATGCCAATAGTCCTTGATTTCCATTTCTGGACGAAGAATGCGCTCCGTTAGGGCCCGTTCCCCAAAATCTTTGTTGCAGAATTTTAATAAATGTCAATACCGAGCATTTCCTTGCGGGATGGCGCATTCCTTCTTCCTGACCTTGTCAGGCTGTTTGGGTGACATTGTGAGCACCTCCCAACGTGTGGCAAATATACTTTGAGATGTTGTGTTTTCAAAAACCAGCAATTCCGAGGTGGTTCTCCCCCCTCCGCCTCACGTCTGGCACACGGTGACATTTCGGTGCGTTTTCGGGACCTTTTTCCATGACTGTATTTAGACCTGTTATTGAATGTGGTGATTTCTCATTCCTTAAATGGACGGAGATCTTCCCCAGGAGTCTCTCTCTCTCTCTCTCTCGCTTCCCTTTACGCTCTCTCTCCTTTCATGTTCAACGCAAAGCTAAAACAGGGCAAATTTCTCCGAGACTGTTTGAAAGTGTGAGCTTCCCTTCGGACGATGCCTGCCTCAACTCCCTCCCTTTTTGCCTCCCCGAAGCCAAGAATCCTTCTCTGAGGCAAACAACAGGAATGACACTCATAGACACACACACACACAGAGCACAATGATGGGAATACATTGTCCTGCCGGCCTCCGCTCATATATACATAGAAGGCTTTGAAAACGGAACAGGACGTGGAAAACGATGTGCCATGAAATGGGTTGACTTATGAGGTTTACAGTGCATAAAGTGGGGAAAATCTGTGTCTACTGTTTCCACTCGGATTGGCATCGCAAAGATCCACCTAAACATCTTTTGTGGGTGTTGTGTTTGTATTTTAAGCTCCTGCTTTCGAATGCTTCAACTCATTTGGTTAGTACGAGGGGCATTCATTAAAGATTTTCCCTGACCCACTTCTATTGATCACGGGACGCTGAAACTGCACATGTGTGATGATATAAGTCTCTATAGGTTGCGTGCCAATTTACAACTCGGAACTCTTTACGATCCTGATCATACAGGTGTAGAAGTGGTGTGAGGTTTGAGAATGGAGCCAGTGGAATCCAGAGCAGTCCTCAAGTTCCTTTACCCGAAAAGCCGCACACCAAAGGAGATGTTTGAGAGATGAAAGCGGTTGATGGTGAGGATTCCCCATCATAGGATGGAGTCAAGAACTGGCATTGTTACGTGCCAATTGACAACTCAGAACTCATTACGATCCTGATTGTACAGGTGGGGAAGTGGTGTGAGGGTTGAGAATGGAGCCAGTGGAAGACAGAGCAGTCCTCAAGTTCCTGTACTCGAAAGGCCGCACCCCAAAGGAGATGTTCGAGAAATGAAAGAGGTTCATGGTGAGGATTCCCCATCATAGGATGGAGTCAAGAACTGGCAACATTACATGCCAATTGACAACTCAGAACTCATTATGATCCTGCTTGTACAGGTGCGGAAGAGGTGTGAGGTTTGAGAATGGAGCCAGTGGAAGACAGAGCAGTCCTCAAGTTCCTTTACTCGAAAGGCTGCACACCAAAGGAGACGTTTGATGAGATGAAAAAAGTCCATGGTGAGGATTCCCCATCATATGATGGAGTCAAGAACTGGCATCATCCATTCCAGTGTGGACTTCGGTGGAAACAGCTCCAATTCCAGGGCTTCTCTACTCAGCTATTGATGAACGCTCATTAAAAATTTCCTCCGACCCACTTCTATTCATCACGGGACTCTGAAACTGCACATGTGAGATGACATAAGTCTCTAGAGGTTACGTGCTAATTTACAACTCGGAACGCATGATCCTGATTGTACAGGTGCTGAAGTGGTGTGAGGGTTGAGAATGGACCCAGTGGAAAACAGAGTAGTCTTCCAAGTTCCTTTACTCGAAAGGCCGCACACCAAAGGAGACGTTCGATGAGGTGAAAGAGGTTGATGGTGAGGATTCCCCATCATATGATGGAGTCAAGAACTGGTATCATCCATTCCAATGTGGTCGGACTTCGGTGCAAACAGCTCCAACTCCAGGGCAACCCCGCTCTTGATGAGCACACCATCCAGCAAGTGGAGGGCACCATTTTGGAATATCGCCATGTAACAATTTGCCACTTAGCCCAAAATGTCAAGATGAGTGTGGGGTCCGTGGAAAATATCACCCAAGACAGTCTTCACATGCATAAAGTGTCTGCTCGCTGGGTCTGCTCCCAATGCAACCTTTAAAGTGGTCTTCTGCTCGCTGGGGGTCCCCCTGTCTGCCCGTCCCCCCCTGGCTGCTCATGCTCACGGCCTACAACCGACACAAAAA